GGTTAGGCTAGATCTATCGATAGGTTTGTTCTTATCTCTTACTTTTATTCTTATGTTTACTGCCATTATGTTTATAGAAGGTTATTGGAGGTCCTTCTTTGATTTTACAAGAGATCGGCCTGTTTATCCCCGACCCCCAATGAACACACACAATCCCACTCAGCTGTGAGGTGTGCGCCATTGGAGGGGCTCCGGCACGAATACTTAAATAAAGCAGGTGCCTCGGCCAGGGTAAGCAAGGAAGGTTTTTAGTAAGAGAGAAAGACCCCAAACCACGTCAGTACTGCCAGTCAATAGCCGCCCTCCAGCGGGAGTGTGGGTCACTCATCCTGCCCGTGGGGAGGACTAGCTAGGGTTGACAATCCTGAACGCTCATGAGGTGACGGTCTAAGTCATTAACCAAAGGTGGAGGCCTACAAGGGGCGTTGCCTCAAACGAGATTCCTGGGATGTCCAAAGATGATCAGAGAGGTGAGGTTTATGGTCCGGTCGTCAACAGTTAGAACAAGGATGGCTGGCTTTGGCGGTGAGGGGTCTGGAGAGAGGTCCGATTACTGCGATGGCTGGCTGGCGAGTCTCGAATCCTATATGGTGGGGAGTCAGGTTTGTTGGTGGTCTGAGTGGTGTTAAGTGTGGTGGTAGCGGTCGTCTCGGTGAGGTCAGGTGTGGGCGGGGCAGAGGTGGCGGAGGAGGTCTGGTCAGTTTTGGGTGCTGCCGTCTTGAGGGGGTGGGCATGTTGGCAGTAGGGGTGGGGTGGGCGGTGAAGGGAGTTGTGGAAGGTGAGGGCCGGCCCGGTTCTAAAGATTTCTGGTATATTTATGGCCTTCAGGCCGTTAGCCTGAAGTCCATCCTTAGCATATTGTAGGAAAGTTTACGTATCCCATTACAGGGGAGTGTGACAAGCGGGTTTTCAAGCTGATCTTGGCTACATTGTTGGTAGTGGTCGGTGGAGGTGGTCGAGGGGTTTATCCTCGCTGTGGAGGTGGTGGTGGCGTAGATGGGATGGGTCGTGGGTGTGGGGAGAATGGCGCGGGTAGATTATGGGGTGCTGTCTCTCGTGGGTGGAATGGTGTTGATCCTCAGTTCAGCCTTTTGTTTTGTCATTTATTGCAGACGGCGGTATGTCGGCAGGTGGCAAGAGTGGCTTTGATGGCTCACTTACAGCGAGTTTTAGTTTCTTTGCACAACTTATTAGAGTTGTACCTGAATTTGTAGCAATTATAGCACAAATGCACGTTCACAAAATGTTAAAATTCGAAGTCTTGTGAGGGGATAGGTTTGTAAGGATAAGGCGTCTGTATGCATGACTGTGGTGATTTTCAGCATTACGAATTTTCCTAGACATCGTACAGATGTGACCTTGTCATTGTATTGGTCTTTGAGGTAGCTTAGCATGTCAGAGTCGGTAAGCTCGAGGAGTTGGGGAACGATGCGTCTGCAGATGAGAGTGCAAGAGGCGAGGTAGTCGGGAGACTGGAGGACAGTCAAACTTTTCAGCCCTCTGGTCGGCGGGGGAGGATGATCAGTATTAAATCATCATTGATGAAGGTCCTTATATAATATAAGTTGTTGGTCTTCTTACTCTATTCAGCTGGGGGCGGCACTGGAGTTAATTAAAGGTGGGTCAATTGACTCTACATATTCTGGTATCCATCCATTTGTTACTGGGGGACCACTTTGTTTAGGTTGATGTATTAGTTAAGAAGGAAAATGGAAAGAGATATCCTCCAAGTAAGTTAATTTTATTCAGCAAAGACGTGATATGAAGTCATATGTGCTCGTCCTATTTCTAACTAGAGATACTATGGGGGGAAAAGAAACTCATTATACGACTACAGAAAAAAACCCCACATTAAATACATGTTATCACGCCTCAATACGATACGCCACAGGCCCATCCAGAAAACGCCACACTATATTACAACCAATGCTAAACTGCCTGTATTTCCAATACTGTTCACCAGTTGCCGAGAACACATTCTGAGTGTCCAATCAGAGCCTGTTTTTTCCAAAGATTCTTCTGGTCTCTTATTCTCTTATTGGTAAGTTCACGATATGGGCGTAGTCACGTCAGTTGCTGGGCAGAGCAATCCTCACGAGTTATCCTCACGACACCTGATACAGGCCTAAATCTGTTTTTCCTTGAGAGGTTGACGAATTGGCTCATCTGGTCTGAAGGGTGCCCTAAAACCTTCTGGCCAGTTTTTCCTAATGGTCGCATATGGATGTAGGCATGTGCGGGCGTTCTTGTTTATTACACTTATTTGGTAGATGACTGTCAGTGAGATCAGGGAGGCCAGGTCGTTCACTCTTTGGAAAGCGTTATTGAGAAAGGGCAATGTCACTTTGGAAGACTTATGAAGATCTTCCCCTAACAAGGTCCTAATTTCCCGACGACCCTCAGCTTGGGTTGCTGCTGCACGCTCACAGGCTCACAAAGGGTCAGGAGGCTGCTGCTGATCCTATGACAGTTAAACAATCACGCTCTAAGCGAGGTGTGGTATTAGGGGGCGCCTTTAGATGAATACTCCTTGCCAATCAACTGGTAATTCATCAGCAATCTATTTATGTCTAGGTTCGTCGGGGATACAGATCAGTAGGTGCTGAGTGAAGCAGGAAGGATAGCTGGTCAAGTTTAGAGCAATACATCTGGAGGAGAGTGGTCCATAGAGGTCCTGTTGCTCTGTCCATCTTTGACGAAAAAGTTCAAACAACCCTACTACAACCCTACTGCAACCATCATTCTTCGTTCTTCATATCATTACGGTGATGGTCTAGCCGCCGGGACCTGGCGGGTTATGACTCCTGGCGGTTTTTGTGTCCAGGCAGCGTTCATAGCGGTGGCGGTCTTCCAAAAGAGCACCCAACCCCTCGGTCTTTCCTCTGTTGCCGTGGCCGGACGGAGTGCTGCTAAATGCTGCTAACAGTCTTACCTCCATCGGGAAAGCCGTGTTAAGCCACGACACATTTCTCTACTCCTACGACTCACTTCCATCCACCATTCACCCCTGTCACATTATTATTTTGTTGTTGTTGCTGATGTTGTAAGTTCAGTTGCGTCTGAAGATGTCTTGAATAAAGACGCAAGGTAAGATGCTCCAGTGATTCCCTTTGCCTGTGTGGTTTTAGCGAGATTTATCTTCTCCACTTCACCACTGTGGATTTACAAGAGATAATCACCGATTAAGAATTAAAAAGTAACTGCCATCTTTGCCAAACAGGGATAACATTTTGTTTTTGCTGCAATAGCATAATGAAAATTAATTTGTATATGATAAAATTTACTCTTTTTCATTTGAAATATCGTTTATCACCATAAAATAACCATATTATACTTAAAGCTAGTTAGGTTAGGTAAGGTTTTCTATTAATTCTTCATTTATATGTATTATGATGATCTACATTTTACATGATTATGTACGGCCAGTCAGAAGTTAAAAACAAATATATAGAGAAGTTGTCGCTATCAGACAATTATCCATATTTAGTGTAAAGTATATTTACGTTATTTACCTAAAGATCAATCACTATAGAGATGGCCATGCTGAGGGAAAGGAGGCCAGTGGCCTGTGTTGTATCCTTACATTGTTCTTGAAAATTTTATCTAGGGCTATTCTGAAGCCCAGTACTGTTCTTCTCAATTCTACAGCCTAAGCTGGTAGTCGGTTATATAGGTCTACCACGCTCGGTGAGAAGAAGTATTTCCTTATGTTCGTTCTGCATGACAGTTTGGCGAGGTTGTAGTTATATCCAATCGTGTTGGTGGTGCGTGACAAAGAAATGGCCCGGGTTCACCTTTTCAAAATTTTGAATGTCTCGGTAAGATCTGCCCTTTTGTGCCTTGTCTGAAGGGTCGTTCCTAAGGCCCTCATTCTGCTTGGATATCGAGATGACATAATTCCGGAACCATCTTGGTAGTTTTGTGTTGTACGTTTTTTTAGGGATGATAAATTTTTCTGAAGGCACGGTCCATGCCTGTACACAGTAATCCAGAGTTGGACGTACGTGAGATTTATACAGTTGAAGGAGCATTTGCCTATCTTTGTATTCGAAAGTATGCTTTACAATTCCCAAATCACGGTTTGCTTACCTCACTTGCTGTGCCGCCTTCAATGACTGAACTATCACCGAGTCATAGATCTTTCTTCTTTATCGAAAATATCCAGGAAAGTGTTTAACATAATAGTCGTGATTAGGGTTGTTGTATTCTTCATCTTGCATTTCGTAATGTTAAAGAGCATTTGTCAGTCTCGAGATCATTTGAACAGCTCCTTCAGGTCTTCCTGCATTGTTGCGACATCGTCTTGACTTGTTAACTTTCTGAATACCTTCGTGTCGTCTGCAAAATTGACACTGTGGCTCAATATATTTTCATCTATGTCGTTTATATAGATCACAAACAGGGTGGGTCCAAGCATAGAGCCTTGTGGTGCTCCACCAAGAACATTTTTCCATTCGGAATGTACTTCATTTATTACTATTTATTGTTGTCTGTCGTAAAGTCAACTGTTAAGCCACTTCAAAAATCTTGCCTGTGAGGCCATGTGCCTGGATCTTAGAGGTTAGTCGTGTAGTTGGGACTTTGTCAAGCGCCTTGGCGAGATCCATGTAGTACATCACATCCGTTGGTAAACCTTGGTCCACGTAGCCTGTTATCGTTTCAAAGAACGTGAGTAAGTTTGTCTGACAGGATTTTCTTTCATTGAAACAGTGTTGTGATGGGTTGATATGACTGTGCTTGGCCAGGTGTTGGATGATGTCTTCCCTCAGAAATTTCTCAAGAGTTTGCAAACATGAGATGTTAGGCCTAACTAAACCGAACCTAACCTAATTTAGGTTTAATTTGCCCATCTTTTGATGGTAAACGACAACTGATATGAAACACATTTTTTTTCGCATACAAATTAATTTTCATTAAGCTATAGTCATAAAAATAAAAGTTATTCGTATATGACAAAAGCGTCAGTAGCTTTTGTAAACTCTAGTATGGGCTACTTTCAGGCGGGGAAGGAGACCGAAGTGCAGTGTGTGCCACTATACACGGTAGTTAGGTCTCTGGGTCTCTCTCACCTCGACTTTCTCTCACTGGACGTCGAAAGGGCTGAGATGGGCATCCTCAACACCATACCCTGGGACAAACTATCTTTCAAGGTAAGTACGATGATGATATGTGTGTGTGTGTGTGTGTGTGTGTGTGTGTGTGTGTGTGTGTGTGTGTGTGTGTGTGTATAATAATAATAATAAACAGTTTATTAATAGAGTTGCAGCCGGTGGGTGAAAATATACAAACTTATATTTGATTTAGACATAATGATATGCGTTGAATACATTTACAGGGCTGTACAGTACATAAATCTGGATTTGTTTTTTATTTTAACACTAGATGGAATGGTGCTATTCTTATAGCTATTAGTGCGGGCTCTTATGGGCTGAATTTTGTTGTAGTGGATGACTGCACATAAATACGATGGTCGTTTATGCACTGATTTCTAAGCAGCAGTGCAACTTGGTCCTGTCTGTGCGACTGAGCAGCTCTTCCCAGGAGCCACTCTACTCGCCCGGAATGGGGAGGGGGCTAGAAAAGGTGTCCTAAACATAACCTGCCTAAAAAACAACCTGACTGGGCAACCACACCCATTAATGTCATCCTAATGCGGTCCAAAACATAATCATAGATGAAAACAAACACAAATTATACAACCTCTTATGGTCGCTGCATGGAATGTCAAGACCCTTCTAAATACTGGGACAAATGAGTGTCCTGAAAGAAGAACCGCCCTTGTGGCAACATCTAGGTGCAACATCGACATTAGTGAGTCCTGGCTCCCAGACGAGGGTCGAATCACAGAACGGGGGCCCGGCTATATCTTCTTCTGGAAGGGTGAACCTGCTCCGGAGAGAAACTGAATTTATGGAGTTGGCTTTGCCATTCGCCAATCCATCCGACATTGGTTAACTGAAATGCCTGTTGGGGTCAACGAGCACCTGATGACGCTCCAAGTTCCACTGAATATCACACGTCAAGCCTTCTTCATTAGTGTATTCGCCCCCAACACTGGATGAAGAGGATGACATCAAGGAGGCGTTTTACGCCAACCTTGACAGAGTGTTAACCTCTATTTCCAGAGAAGATAAGGTTGTGCGCGAAGGTGACTGCAATGTCAGGGTTGGCTGAAATGCTGACTTCTGGCTGGGAGCCATAGGGAGAAACGGAGTTAGCAAGTACAATCCCAACGGCCTACTCCTCCTGAGCAAGTGTGCTGCACACCGCACACAGCACTCTGTTTAGGCTGACTTGTCAGTTCAGGTGTTCTTGGCAACACCCACGATCCAAACACTGGTATCTCATTGACTCCATCATTGTTAGGGAAAGAGATCACCGAGATGTTCTCATCACCCAAGCCATGCGTGGGTCAGATCACTGAGACAGATCATCGGCTCGTCAGAGCCAAACTCTCCCTTCATGTCGCCTTAAAACGACGAACGCAACAAGCCTCCAGAAGCGGCTCTTAACACCAAACGACTGGAGGATCAAGCAGAAGAACATGCTTTCAGAAACCGGCTAGACAATGGGTTGGTAAACAACTCAACAACAAACCACCTAAATACGAGTGCCGAATGGGGTATCGTCAACGCTGTCATCACATAAACCTGCAGCGAGACGCTTGGCCAAATTGAAAGGAAACACCAGGATTGGTTTTAAGAAAATAACCAGGAAATCGACGCACTCGTCAACGATAACCGTGTTGGCTTCACTGACTGAAAGAGCGACCCTCATTCTCGGACCAAAGCTGAAATCTTCCACCAAAGGAAAGTGATGGCCCAGTGCAAACTTCGCGATCTAAAGAATGAATAGTGGAAAAAAAAAAAATATGCGGATCCGCAGCAGAAGCGCGAAATTTTAAATTCCATGAAAGCAATTTATGGTCCAACTATTCATGGCGCAGCCCCACTCTGTTCGTCCGATGTTAACTCCCTAATTAAAGGCGAAGAAGGCATTCGTCAGCGCTGGAAAGAGCAATACCATTTCCTGTTCAACCGAAACACTGATGTGGATGTCCTGACTAGCCAGCAGGTCCCTCAGCACCCATGGAGCAGATGGAATCCCAGCCGAGGTGTATAAAGCAGGAAGACTTCTGTTTACCAGCCATCTCCACTCTCTTTTACTACTACTACTTTGCAGTCAATCGCAATCGAGTAGGACGATCATCCAGCTATGACACAATGATATGAGTTATTAAGGATGTCACCTACTTTGGTGAGTTCTGAGGTGACTAAAGATGCCGATATGGGACCGACAGAGTCGTTCACAGATGTTGCACATGTGGAGGTCTACATCTAGTGCGGGAGGGGCGGCGGCGGTTTATTTCCGGCGTTGGCGCTTGTCTGCCTCGGTATTCAGTCGGGCTAACTCAAAAGTATTGACACCTTCTTGTGTGGTGCTTCTCCAAGCGTGAGTGTGGAGTGTTCGTCTCCCAGGTGAAGGAGTCGATTTGGCACTTTTTCAGGTTTGTCTTAAGACTATCCTTACACCTTTTCAGTTGCCCGCCAGCATTACGTTTACTATTATTTACGTGACTGTAAAGTAGCTGCTTTGGCAGTCTACTGTCGTCCATGCGGGTAAGGAGGATGAAACGTAGACTACGTTGGTGAAAGTTTTCGAGTGCCTTGAGGTGCCTCCTGTATGTGACCCAAGTCTCGCTGCAATAGAGCCGGGTGGGGAGGACTACTGCTCGATATACGTGCAACTTTACAGATAATTTTAGTTTCCTACAGCTGAAGACGCGGGCACGGAATCTGTCAAAGGCTTTAGATGCACATCTGATCCGATGTTGAATCTCTTTATCGATATCCGCAGTGGTGGACAGGTGGGAGCTGGGATACCGAAAGTGGGTAACATTAGAAAGGGTAGTACTGTTAAGCTGGATGGATGGTGGAGGTGTGGCTGAACCAGGGGCAGGTTAAAAGATAATCTGAGTCTAATGGACTTTCACCTCAAGGCCGAAGTGTGTATACACAACTGCACAAGAGATCAGGATCTCCTGTAGGTCGTGTTCAGTGTGAGCGACAAGGGTGAGGTCGTCTGCATACTGAAGTTCAGTAATCGAAGGTGCTGACACCTTTGTTCCTACCTGGAGTCGTCTTATGTTGAAAAGACCTTTCATCCAGTACTCGATGTCCACCCCACCAGCAAAATTGGTACTGGCACGAGTAAGGAAGGCAGCCAAAAAAATGGAAAAGAGAGTTGGTGCCAGTACATATCCTTTTTTTACCCCCGTTTGGATGAGGAAGAACCCAGACTGGGTGCTATTGTGCAGGATTGCCGTTCATGCCATCGTGGAGTTGCCTCACAATGGCGATGAATTTTGGTGGGCAGCCAAAACGGACAGCAGCGAGATCCTGCAGTAGTTATCACATTCTGACCGGTCTCCCTTGCTTTTATAAATATTGACGATGGATGCGTCTTTAAGAACTTGGGAAATTTCCTCCTTTTCCCATATATTCTCCAGGAGAGAGTGGAGATGGCTGGTAAGCAGAGGTCCTCCTGCTTTATACACCTCGGCTGAGATTCCATCAGGCCCTGAGGCTTTGTTATTTTTCATCTGTTTTTGGCAGTAGCTACCTCATCCAGGGATGGGGGATAGCTGAGGTGGGTCAGCTCTGGATGCTGAGGGACCTGCTTGGTAGTCAGGACATCCACATCGGTGTTTTGGTTGAACAGTGAATGGTAGTGCTCTTTCCACTGCTGAAAGATGCCTTCTTCGTCTTTAATTAGGGAGTTACTTTTGGATGAGGGGAAGGGGGCTGTGCCATGAGTGATTGACCTATAAAATGTCATTGTGGAATTGAAAAATTTGCGCATCTTGTGCTGATCTGCAATTTTTTGTGTTGCACATGATTTATTTTTAAACCAGTCGTTCTTTAGATTGCGAAGGTGGCGCTGGGCCGTCACTTTCTTCTTGTGGAAGTGTCAGTTGTCACCGGACTTTCAGACCCAGAGGAAGGGCTTATGGAAACTCGTCGTGTAAAAATGACATATATTACACAATTTACATTCAAGAGCAAGTTTTCATGTCCAAATATCTCCAATTACTTCACGCACAACTCGGCGGCTATCTTGTACCCCACGTCGGCGTGCTGTCCGGTTCAGTCGGTGGCTCACGCTGCTCTGCCGTGACCATCGCGTTGTTGTTGTTGTTGAGATTGTCGGACCGTAGTCCGACACGGGCCTTTGCCTATAGGCGGCCCGTTTGGTGGTTCCGGCTGGAGCTCCAGGAGCAGCCAGACCGGATTGGGATTGGAGGTGGTCCCACCTGCAGATTGGAGGGATACTGCAGGTTGCAAGTGTGAGCGGACCCCCGATCAGTGGACGCTTACCACCAGCCCCCACCCTTGGACGTGGTCAGCTTCGGAGTGGCGCGCCCCCCGAACTGGGGTCCGCACTTGCTGGGAGAGGATGCTTTCTAAGCTATCTGGGTGGTGGGTATCGTGTGATGACCCCGAGTAGGTGGTGAATGTGGTCTGTATGGGCCTTTCGGGTTAGAGTGGCCGCTGGTGTTGTGTGTGTTTCTTGGGAGATTTGAGTTCTGTTTCGGAGGCTTTGTGTGACCTCGCAATCGAGGAGATAGTGTTCAAGTGGGTTGGCTGCTGGCTCCTGACAGTAGGTGCATTCCATGACGTCATTTCCGATCATCTGCCAGGAGCACTTGTACCCTAGTCGTAGTCGATGAAGGCTGACTTGGGTTTGTCTTGGAGTTTTCTTGTCAGCGAAAGGTGGTTCCCCTTTTGTGGCCGCCAGGTACCATTTGGCTGATTGGGAACCAGCGTTGAGTGCATGAAGGAAGCTCTTTTTGATGTGGAGCTTGGTAGTCTTTCTGAGGTGATTCTTGATCTGTTGCACACTTGCTGGAACTTGGATGTGTACGCTACTAGAACGTGTAGCTGCCTTGGCTGCTTCGTCTGCCACGTCGTTTCCTCCGATCCCTACATGACTGGGAATCCAGTGTAAGACGACTGGTCGGTTTTGGCTTTGGAATTCCTGTAGCTGTGCGAGGATCGAGGTGATGATGTGGACGTTGTCTCTTGGTTGACTGTGTTGCAGCGCCTGCATGGCCGATTTCGAGTCCGTGTGAATTATGATGGACTTGTTG